AGAAGGAAATGATACATTAGACTCAATAAAATTAAGAGCTTCTATTCAGCAAAAGATACTCTTTAGAAAGTGAAAGGCAAACCGTAAGTGGGAGGAGATATTTGCAATTCATCCTATAAAAGGCACGTATGCAAAACATATATTTTAAATGCCCACAGACCACATTTTAAAGAAATTCAAACAACACAATAGGAAAATGGGTACAACTAATTATGACGGAAATACAATTTTAAACTTTTTTTTTTTTTTTTTTTTTTTTAAAGCAACAAGGTGTCACCCTGCTGCCCAGCCTGGACTGCAGTGGCATGATCATACCTCACTGCAGCCTCAAACTCCTGGGCTCAAGAGATTCTCTTGCCTCAGCCTCTCAAGTAGCTGGGACTACAGGAACACATCACCACTCTCAGCTAATTAAAAAAAATTTTTTGTAGAGATGAGGTCTTACTGCCTTCCCTAGGCTGGTCTTGAACTTCTGGCCTCAAGCAATCTTTGTGCCTTGGCCTCTTAATGTGCTGGGATTACAGATGTGAGCCACCACACCAACCTTAAACCAGAATTTGATAACAGCTCATCTCCACTAGGATGGCCAAAATGAAAAAGAGAAAATACAATTATTGGTGAAAATATGGATCATCTGAAACTCATACATGTTGATAGGCGTGTAAACTGATATAATTATTTTTGAAAACTGTTTGGCCATACCTATGAAAGCTAAATACACAGATACCTATAATTAAGCAATTCTATTCCTAGGAGTATCCCCAAAAGAAATACCCATATCTGTTCTCCAAAAGATATGTACTATTATAGAATGTATAATATTAACAACTCTATTCATAAAGCCCCAATGGGGCTAAGTTCGTTGGGTTGGTTTGGAAACAAGCAAAGCGTCTGTCAAAGTTGAATAGAGAAATAAATTGTGGCATATTCATGCAATGGAATGCTATACAGCAGTGAGACCAAACTACAAAAACAACGTAGATGAATTCTACAAACTTGGTATTCTGCCATAGAAGAATGAATACATATGATACCACTTATAGAAAGACATACACAATTAATCTGTATTAGAAGTTAGGACACCATTGTAATCCCAGAGGGAAAGCAATAGTAACTGAGATAGTATGAGGGTGATTCTGAGGTGCCAAAATGTTTTACTTCTTAATTTGGGGGTTGATTACATGGGTTTGTTAACTTTTTAAAGGTTCACAAAACTGTATCTTTATGCTAAATGTACTATATCATATGCAATTTTTAATGACAATTTAAAAAATGACAGCACCTACAATGTAGAGGTAAACTGGGAGCTAAAAAGCTTGGAACCTAGGTAAGAGACTTGTTTCTATTGGGTCCTTAGGGATGGAAGAGTTCTTGGATTCCAGAGAATGAAACCTTGAAAATAAGATTACCTAGACTTACGACATGCTGTGTTTATGTCTGTCAGTTAATGCCCTGGTCTCTAGAAAATTTGTATGTGAATGTTTGTTAAGTTGGAATTTAAAAATTGGGAAATAAAAATGATCAATTTAGAAAAGCCTCATTTGTCCACGTCAGGGCCAGAGTGTTAAAGACTGCATGTTCCATGCCTCAGGGTTAGCTCAGTGTTGTCTGCCACAGCACAAGATTAAGGTAAATCTTGGGGAGCCAGAGCCACGTGGTCCAGTCTCCCCTTTAGTGTCAATCTTAAAAACTGCATTTCCCAGCCAGCTTCCCTGGCTGTTAAGTATGGCCAAGTGACTGAGTTGTAGTGGAGACAACTAGTGTAAGTGATACGTAACACCTGCAGACCTTGTTTAGCAAAGCCTTCCTTGTATGTTTTGCTGTTAAAAATAAAATAAAATAAAATTCTCTACCTGGAAGAAATGGAGATAAACCTCAGGGTGATCTTTGGAAGCACATGCCAAAGTTGATAGGGCTCCATTGGCTTGGTCCCTGAAAAACTTCATGGAGTAGAGTCCTTCCTCTTCCCAGGCCTAGTCTGAAACTACAATGGACTATCACATAGTTAATACCAGGAACTTAAATTTTAGAATTTATTGGTCCCAGAAGCAGACATTTTCCTAAATAATATATTAAGAATGGCAGGGATTCCTTCTAGAATCTCAGCTCGTATTACTCTTTAGTCCATAGCAGTACAACGGCCTCTCCCAGCATTTACCTCTTATCTATCATAGGCCATTAACTAATATAATATTAGCATAGCTTAAATTATATATATATATATAATATATATAATAATTATTATTATTTTTGAGAAAGGTTCTCACTCTATCACCCAGGTTGGAATGCAGTGGCATGATCAGGGCTCACTGCATCCTTGACCTTCCTGGTTCAAGCAATCCTCCCACCTCAACCTCCTGAGTAGCTGGAATTACAAGCGTGCACCACTAGGTTTGGCTAATTTTTAAATTTTTGTAGAGACAGGGTTTTGCCATGTTGCCCAAGCTGGTCTCAAACTCCTGGGCTTACGCCATCCACCCGTCTAAGCCTCCCAAAGTTCTGAGATTACAAGCATGAGCCACTGCGCCTGGCCACATTTAGAATGTTTTGGTGTATTCACCCAGTTACATTTTTTCACACAGAATATCTTTGATCACCTTTTGTTTTGTCTCAATCTTACTGACTGACGTGATCTTTCTGTAATTTTTTTCCTTATCATTTGCTGGCCAGAAGGAGTTTAGGGCCATTTCTGCTTTGTATATTTGTGCATTTCCTATCCTCAATTCACTGTCTGCATACCTTCAGCTCTAATTCTTTCTTCAGCTCATTGTCATTTCACCAAAGCCAACAGTAACCTCTTAATTGCCTTATCCAGTGGGCTCTTTCAGGTCTTTGTCACATTGGATCTCTCTGACACATTTGATGGTGTTGATTTCCTCCTGAAACTCTCAACTCCCTTGATCTTCTGGATAGCCCCACAGGCTTCTAGTCCTCCTGTCTCTCTGACCGTTCCCTCTTTGTCTACTTAATGGGCATTTCTTTCTCTGCCGTCCTCTACAAATCTTGAGGTTACATGTTTCATTTTCATTCCATATTTTCCCCCTCCTAAGTAATATTATCTGTGCTTATTGTTTTAACTCTCACCTATGGGCTGACAGCTGCCAAATACTTCTCTCCAACCCTGATCTCTCTGCCACCCAACTCCAGGCTATGTAACATCTTCACACGGAAGCCTCACAGGTATTTCAATCTAAACATGTATGATACTCATCACCATATCCCTCAACCCTGTCTCATTTTTTTGTTTAAGATTTTACACAGGAATCCCCCCTTCCTCCCTGGATCCTCCTACTTCCTACAGGTCACTAGCTCCTGATTTACCTCTAAAACATTTTCTCAACATGCCTCATTTCCTCTATCTTTATTATACTTTCAGTCCACGTTACTTCTCTTATTTCTCTCCTGGTCTACTGCAATAGCTTTGGTATAGGCTGACCTGTGTTACCCTCAAATTCATATGTCAAAGTCCTAACCCCCAAGTACTTCTGAATGTGACCTTATTTGGCAATGGGTCACTGCAGATCCAATAAGAAGAGATCATACTGGAGTTGGGTGGACCTACTCTAGTATGTGTCCATATAAAAAGGGGAAATGTGGACACAGACATGCAAACATGGAGAATGCCATACCAAGACTGCAGTGATGCTGACACGAGCCAAGGAATTACCAGAAGCTAGGAGAGAACCCGAAAGCAGAGCCCTCCCTAGAAGCTTCAGAGAGAGTGTGGCCTTGCTGACACCTCGAACTCCCACTTCTGGCTTCCAAGACTTTGAGACAATGTATTTCTGTTGTTTAAGCCACTCAGTTTGTGGTATTTTGTTACAGGAGCCCTAGAAAATGAATACAAACTTCCTTTCTTACTTTATTTGCCTCCAGTTTCCCCTCCAATGGCTCCCTGCAGACTGCGTTATCTGAAAGGTACGTGTAAGCCTGACAGACCCCAAATTAAAAACCGCTCACCAGCCCCCAACCTCTCAACCCCCAGAATATGAATCTGGTTTACAAAACTCTTGCCTAACTCAATTCATGCTTTTCTCTCCAGCAGTGATGAAATGCTGGGCTGGGACTAAATACTTGTTATTTCAAGCTGTTGACCTTTGCCCATTTCCCAACCCTAATGCCCATTCATACTCCTACCTGTTTTTCCCATCTTTTAAAATTCAGTGCACACATTTCTTCTACAAGGAAACCTCCCCCTGATATACCCACACTCTGTGTCCTACCCTACCAACCCCCCACCACCAGCATCAGCTTCCTGGATGGGGTAGGTGACCTTTCTCTGATTGCTATGCATTCTCTGCATAATTGACTTATGATAGTTCCTGCAGTTTAGTAAAATGATCTCTGCATCTGTTTGCCCCATGAAGTTGTGAATTCTTAGGTGCTCTATAATTGTGTGTGCGCATAGGTATATGTACTCATAAATAGGTATATTTAAATAAGATCACTTCTCGAAGGAGTTGGTAGGGGGCAGGTAGCGGAGGTAGGCAGCTATGGTGTGGAGTGAATTATGGATAGGTTGGTATGACTATCCCACACTGGGAGGCTCATTATCTCCAAAACTTCTTTCACTTGTCTTACCCTTTTACACTCCGAGAAGCCAGAGTGGGGGGCTGGGGAAGTACAAAAAGAAGATTTCCCCTACTCCCACCCCTCGTGCCCCACCACAATTCCTTGGAAAGAATGCCGGACTGGCCCACGCCAGCAAGTCATCCCATACGAAATGGCCCAGTGCCTGCCATCTAATGTACTGAATGCCGTGGGAGCTCCAAAGTCATGCAGCCTTTTGAGGGGAAGGGGCAGGGGCCGCGCGGGAGGCACACGGAATGAAGTAATACATTCAACGCTAATGCCCGCATTCTGTGAGAAGCTTCCCACAGCAGCTGCGCTCTCCCTTACTCCCGCCCCGAAGGCATTCAGGCCCTCCACTCTCCCCTCCCTCTGCTGTAAAAGCCCCGGGTCCTTTCTCCAGACCCTTCCTTACCCTTCCGACCTCCTACCTGTCTGGATCAGAAGAAGGTAGACAAAAGGAGCGAGGCGCAGGGCCCTGGAGGCTCTGGACAGGGCTCCCCTTTCTCTCTTCATTTTGGGTGGCGTTCTCCAGCTCTGGTGCAGACAATTAGCATGATTTCTCCACTCTGGGCACGTCTCCTTTGTACCACTCGGAGTTCCTCTGCCCGAACACAACCGTGCCAACTTCCCTCTGAATACACAGAGCTCTGTGTATTGCTGGACTTGTTCTTTCCTCTCCCTCAGACCTGGCATTTTCTGGTTTCCAAGCCCTACATCCTCAGTTTGGAAGAGGGTATCTGCTTAGGAGATAATCTTCAATTCAGGTTCCAACACGGGGGCGCCTACAGCCCAGCAGTTGGTTGCTTGTCTGTGCTGAGCCCCACTTCCAGGGGAGATGAGGATCGGGGCTCAGTCAGGGCACTGAGCTGGGACACACGGTTAATCGGACCTTGTGTCCCAACCTACCCTGTCTCCACCTCACACTCCTTCTCCCTGAGGAGGAGGGCACATGCCAGGACAGACCTCCAATAAGCTCTGAAAAGGGAGGGAGAAGAGCTGTTAAAAAGCTGGAAGTGAAAGACTCCAGAGAATTGCTGAAGAAATGGAAAACTCCCGTTCCAACCCAAAGGAAGAGGACTGGAAAATAGCTTGAATTCGATTACTTTTAGACTTGCCTTTTTCTAACTTGAAATTTTATCTTCTATTATAGAATCACAGAGATGCTGGAGACCTCTTTCCAGAAGCCACTCTGTTTATTCCCCTGCTTCCAGCCAATTTTCTAGAACGTATCAGAGCAAAATGAAGGTAATGTCCTAACAGCCAACATCCTGGGGTTCTCTGTTATCAGCTTAACAGCCTAGCTGAGCCCTCCTGTCTCCAGGCTGTGAAGAGGAGAAACACCCTAGCTCTACACTGACCCCCATTCACGTGTTCACACCTTCTCATGAGGGCAGCCAAGGGAATGGATGCCTAGTGACCGTGATCTAGGTGGGATGGGCTCGCAACCTCTTTCAGCCTCCAATTTCTCATCTGTAAAATGGGGAAAAGAATCGCTTCCTTGGGAAGAATTGTTGGGAGGATTGATGAAGATCTGGCACAGAAGATTACCTAGCAAATCTTTGTTACAGAGATGACATTTTAAACTTTTTAAAAATTGCCTTTTTTTTTTTTTCCATTCATGCAGGGGTCTTTACATTTTGGGGAGATCAAACTTCAAAACTTCCTTCTTGGTCATCCCAAACCCTGGTCTTGGTCTTGTAAATGCAGAAATTCTCTCTCTAAATATTCTCTTTACATACTGGATAAAGCCTAAGTAGGTCAGTTTTCTAGAACTCAAGCATTATTACATAGTCCTTCTCAGCCTAGGCAGAGGTAGAAGAGTTGGGAAGCACTGAACTTCACAGAACTCTCTGAAAATATTCTGAAATATATAAAGGGGATTCTTTTTTCCCTTTGCATCTCTGTGTTTATGACTTTTCATTAGACAACTCCAGGCACCTTTCTTCCACTGGAAGAGTTAATGTTATTATAGCAGGTACACAAAAAGAAAGAGTCAGTATTCAGCTTCTGACATTTAAAATAGCATTTCAAAGTCCATAGCAAGATGAAAGGCTTAGCCAGTCTTTGTAAGGGACAGAAGAGTATTCTAATTTCTTTTTTCTACCCCTTGACTTATCATGGAGCAGCCTGTGGACTAGAGCACAGAGTCCTTCCAGAGTGTGGATAAATGGCCCTTTTGCCTGTGATGTCTAGGCCTGAGGCTGATGGATGGGAGTAAAGGGAAGATAGGATACAGTGTTCAGGAAATTAAAAAAACCCTGAAGTTTGCTCCTGTTATCCTGAAGCACTGTGGAAAGAAAAATGTGCTAGAGGGAGACTAAGAGTATCTAAGTTCTCAATATTCCTACTTCCCTGAGCCACCCAGAGGTGGCTCTTCATACCTGCACAGAATTTGCAAGGGCTTCTAGGTGCCCAGAAGCCCTTGAAGAGACTCTGAAGTGCTGAGAAGGTAGACAACTGGCAGGAAACAGAAGATTGAGCAAAGGCACTGTCATGTACAGGGGTTCTGAGGCCAGAGGGAACACCTGGGGCCACATACTGCTGTAGGTGGGAGCCACAGGTAGTTCATCAGGCCAGGAAAGAATGTGGACTCTGAGTAGAGACCAGTGGGAAACCTGAGAATACTACATAGGTGTACAGACAGTGTGTCCCCCTGTTGCCACAAGGCTGCTTCAGCCACACCACCTATATTTACCCCAACTCTTACTAGAGAGGAGCTGGTGTTGGGAGAGGATATTTGAAAGACCGCTGGAGCAATTGCCCGAGCTATCCAAGAAGAGACTGAGCTACCCAAAGACAGTGTGAAAATGGTTGGATCAGACTGGGCTTACTGAGATGGAGTGACATTTTCCTCTGCTACCCCGGGGGGTGAGCGGCTTATGTGGAAGATCACAGCAACTACAAAGACATAAAGGCATTCCCTTTCCTTTGTATGTCTGAATGTACAAGGAGCAGTTTTGCAATCCTGCTTCCAGTGACTGAGTAGGCCTTTAGAAACTTATAATCATCTGCTTATGTGCCTTTCTCTCTGAAGAAACAGAGAGCTCTTTAAGAGCTGTCTTATTTGTCTCTCTGTCCCTAGTACCTAATACAGGGCAGGACACATAGTAGGTGCTCAGCAGACAGTAGCCGAATATTGGATGAATGAGCCCTTGCCCTAGCTCCTTTAGAGGGGATTCTCAAGCAGCTGGACAACTGGGGGTGTGGGAGTGAGCAAGCGATTAAGGCCACAAAACAATGGCAGACCAGTTTGTGGACACATATGAGGGATCCCTCGGGAATTTCCAGAAATAATCAGGGCTCACTTTGAGTGGGGACACTGATCCAATAGGCCTTGACTTTCAGAAAGATATGGTAACAGCCTCACACATAACACAGAGTGTTTATCTCAGCTGTCTTGGCTTGTCTTAATGTTATCCTTCCTTGTGTTCTTTGAGTCTTTTGCTCTGGGTGTGTCTGTCTCATATAATTGTTGATGATGCTGGCGTTTTTTTTTTTTTTTTTTTTTTTTAAAGGGATATTTTGATTATTAATGCTACATTTCTTTAACATCAAAAATATATTTATACTTATTAGTTCACATGTCCAAATTTTTGATCAGAAAGTGTGGTTACTGTGGCCATTTCCTCATGAGCCTGCAAGGCTCTTTGGAGCAGGGAATATAATTCTTTATTCCCCTGGATCTCCTCATGGGGCCCAATTCTGAGTTCTGCATAATAAGGCTGCCCCGACAATGGTGTCACAAACTGCTTGACTGACGGCAATCATCCCTTGCTCAGCCCAGGCCCACAGCCCTGCCTTCTCTGAGCACTGCGACAGATTTATTTCTGAGGCACTGTCCTCTTCTGAGTAGTGTGGCCCAGTTCTCTGGGCCCCTTCACTGCACACAGTTGCTTCAGAATACTCCTTATTTGGAAACCCCTCTGGGGCTCTGTAATCTGGACTCCTCGCCCCAGCACTGGTGGCAGCTTTGCCTGCTGGTCCTCCCATCTCTGCACTGACCACCCAGACAGAGACCCTACAGCTCAGGATGGAGCCCCTCAACAGACATGCATCCACTAGCAGAAACTGAGATGTGTCTGTCTCTAGAACGGGAGGAAGAGGCAGCTAGTGATTTTTTAAATTGTACTTTAAGTTCTGGGGTATATGTGCAGATCGTACAGGATTGTTACATAGGTATACATATGCCATGGTGGTTTGCTGCCTCCATCCCCCCGTCACCTACATTAGATATTTCTCCTAATGTTATAGGAGAAATCTCCCCACTCCCCTGCTATCCCTCCCTAGCCCCCCTCCCCACAACAGACCCCAGTGTGTGATGTTCCCCTCCCTGTGTCCATGTATTCTCATTATTCAACACTCATTTATGAGCAAGAACATGCAGTGTTTGGTGGAAGCTAGTGATTTTAACTGAATCACCATCCTATGCAAACGCCTGTGAGAGCTGGCCAAAACAACAAAGAACAAATAAACAAATAAAAAAGGAGGCTAAGAAATTGTAAAACTGAATTCTGTCTCCCAAGAACTAAAGGTCTTTTAACAGTCACGGAGTAGTGGACTCACTGTGCCGCAACAGACATTTGAGATAACCTTGTCTCATTTCTTCATTTGTCAGATGAGGAAACCAAGGAATAGCAGGGTAAGTAATTTGCCCAGAGGTAAATCTACTGATGGATCCAGGACCCTGACATTACTTAAAAACAAATGAACAAGAAAAAAATCATTAAAAAAAAATAGTTACTAGTAAAGGCAAGAAAAAATAACACACACATGAATGACATGTGAATAAGTACCATTTTAAATAATTCTACTATTAGAGGTAAGGGTGTTCCCACCCACCTGGCCTGTTCCTCTGTCTCCAGGTAATAATGATAATACTACAAAAGAGGTTTAGAAATTGCCCTTACTAATACTATCCCATCAGTGGTGATTTTTATGTTTAGTATGCCTCCTCCGCCCCTTCATTCATTTCCTGCTATTCATTGAGCCATATCTGTCTCCTTCATTAAATTGTGAATCATCGTTAGTAGCAGAATAAGAAAAAACCTTTCAACCTATGGCACCAAAACTCCTGTGAATGAGGGAATTTTCTTTTCTTTTCTTTTTCTTTTTTCCTTTTCTTGAGATGGAGTCTTACTCTGTCACCCAGCCTGGAGTGCACTGGCGTGATCTCGGCTCACTGCAACAACCTCTGCCTCCCAGCTTCAAGTGATTCTCCTGCCTCAGCCTCCTGAGTAGCTAAGATTACAGGCATGCACCACCATGCCCAGCTAATTTTTGTATTTTTAGTAGAGATGGGGTTGCACCATGTTGGTAAGGATGGTCTTGAACTCCTGACCTTGTGATCCACCTGCCTCTGCCTCCCAAAGTTCTGGGATTACAAGCCTGAGCCACCGTGCTGGGCTGGAATTTTCTTTAGCAAGAAAGAGATCTTGATATGCCACATGGAGTAGAAGGTAAGACCTTGAGCATTAAGAGTCAAAGAACAAAAACATAAATTGCTCCTCATTAGAAATAAACAGGAATTTGGGGGCAAGGAGAGTGCAGAGAGGAGAGAGATCAAGACAGGGAGGGGGATGAGAGATCAACATGGTGGGGAATTGAAGAAAATTTAAGAGCAGCTTGCATTGTCACACTGTATACCGTCCCTCCTTAGTCTCCTTCAAAACTTCTTCAACTTGAAAAAACTTCTTCAAAACTTTACTACACTCAAATGCAGTATATGTGTGTGCTTCTAGCCAATAGAATATGGCAAAGGTGATGGAATAGCCACTGTCTTCATTAGGTTACAATATAGAAGACATAGACCAGAGAGAGATTGTCTAGTGTACCGCAATGGCATGAGAGGGCCCTGTGGCAAGGAACTGCTGGCCTCCTCTAGGCATTGAGAGCAACTGTCAATCAACAGCCAATAACAACAAC